CCAATTCCTACTATTGGTCGACAGGTGAGGATGACAAAACAGTGAATAAACACTTTTATCGATTTCCAAGAAATCCCGACATTTCTACCAAATGGAAACTGATTTGTGACATAAATATTTCAATGAATTGCCGGAATATGTACGTGTGCGAAAGTCATTTTCGGAAAGAAGATTTCATTAATTATACAAAGCATCGTTTGAACCCGAATGTCATACCCAAAAATATTGAAATTGAAGACAACTTAAATCCAGTAGAAATTATTTTACCCATTGAGAATGATCTAGTAATCATAATAATAATTGTCAACCGTCAGATGTTGATACAGAAATTGTAATTGCAAATGAAGTTCATGTACCTCTCATTTGTGATAATTCATGCGATAATCCGAGTGGTGTAAATACATGCGATATGTCAACTTCCGTGCTTGCTGACATTACTTCTACAGAAACTTCTGTTTTTGAGAACAGTACATTTCAAAATATCGAACTTGCAAATAATAATAATAGCAGTCCCTCTGATAATTGCACCTGTTCATTCCATAAAGATGTTATATGCATATGTGCCGAAGGCGATCATATAAATAAAAAATGCAATACTTCTCACAATTCACAACTTGGCGATGGATCTTACACTCCTCTTAAGAGAAAAATCGGTTTTTTAACAGAAGCAGGAGTAACTGCAAAGAACATGTCTCCACGGAAAAGCACCATGTACAAAATTCACCGTAAAATCACTCAACAATTGTGTAAAGTTCAGAAAAAATTACAGAACAAAACGGATGCTATGGCAAAATTGAAAGCCATGCATGATCGCAAAGAATTTGACTGCATTGTTAGTAAATTGAATGACGTTACTTCACAATTTATTAAATCACAATTACGAAATGTCGACCGCACTCCTGTTGGGAGAAGATGGACAGAGGAAGATAAAACGTTTGCATTATCTATGTACAAACGAAGTCCTCGTTTGTATAAGTATTTGACGAATTACTTCCTACTGCCATCAACTCGTACGCTCAAGCATATTTTGTCAAAAATTCCATTTGACACTGGAATGAATCCTGTTCTCTTAGAACAATTAAAAATCAAAACGGCTGAAATGAATGAACTCGATATTGTGTTGTAGCCTTTGATGAAATTTCCTTAAACTCCGGTTATTACTACGAAGCACAGAAAGAACAAATTTCTGGTTACGAAGACTTGGATGAGTTGGGTCGTACTTCTAAAGGAGCAAACCATGCGCTTGTCTTCATGATACGTGGCTTAAGAAGATCCTGGAAACAAGTAATATCATACTACTTCACGACTGATACAATCTCTTGCGATAATCTCAAATTGATCATTAAGATTGTCATTTCACAACTGCAAGGAATTGGTCTTAAAGTAAAAGGAACGGTTTGCGACCAGGGTCCTACTCAAAGACGAGCCTTATCTGAACTGTGCGCAGAAAATAAAATCGACCCAACTTCCTACACGTTTGTCGTAAATCAACAAACAATAGTAACAATATATGACGTACCTCATTTATTGAAATGCACTCGCAACTGTTTACTCCGCTGTAAAATAATATTTTATACAGATAAAGTTGCCAAATTTCAATATATCAAGAATGCTTTTGACGTTGAACAGAATTATCCTTTCAAACTTCTGTATAAATTAACAAAAAATGATTTTAACTTTGCAGATTCTTTTATTAAAATGCGAGTAAAAGTTGCAGCGCGTCAGTTAAGTCATACTGTTGCTGCAACAATTCACACTCGTAGCGTTACAAACGTTAACGGATTATTCCCCTTTGAATCAGTACAAACGGCAGAGTTTGTACAATTAATAGATGATTTATTCGATTCCCTAAATGGCTATACTATAAAACCAGATGAAGGAAAAATGTACAGATGTTGCTTACAAGATGAATCGCCTCATCTTTCGTTTTGGAGTAAATTATTGCCGCAATTAGCTACATGGAAATTAGTAGATTCAAAATCAAACAAAGATGTCACAAATTCTTTTCACTTCGTGAAAAGATAGTCAATAACAATAAAATCCATTATTTATTTGTGGAATCAATTCAAAGCTGTTGGTTTCAAGTTTTTAAATTTGCGAAATCTTAATCAAGATCCGGTCGAAAATCTTTTTTGTACAATTCGCCAACATGGTATTGCTAACACAAATCCCATCTGTCACCAATTTGTAGCAGCATTAAAAACAGTTATATTAAACAATCTAGTTGTACCAATATCCGATTCTGCAAATTGTGAAAATGACAATTGTGAAAGTGTAGCGATTTTTCAAGGATTTTTACGACGTGCTACTGACACCATTCAAAAGGAAGAAAGTGAATCACTCGAGAATACAAATAATTGTACTCTTGATTGGGTCACTTTCAAAGATTTGAATGTTGATGCATCTCAAGCACTGTCTTATGTATCAGGTTATCTTGTCAAAAAACTTAAAATTCCTGATGAAAATTGTCTGCATTGCCGAACCGATATGTTTTGTTCTCAACAGGAACAACATCATTTGTATACAACTTTTAAAGAATATTCCGAAAAAGACACACTGACGTATCCAAGTAATAAGATAATAACGTTAATAGAAAACATTCACAATAG